CGGGGGCCGGGACCGGCAGGTGGACGGACGTTGCCATTTCTGTGCCCGGGCCGGGCCGGCGGCTTGGCCACGTGCGGGGATTCTCTCCTGGAGGCCGCTCCCTCACCCAGGCGGGCAGCACACCTGGCCCACACGCTGGGTCGGAGTGCCGCATGGCCCTGCCCCATGGGCCAAACGCCTGGGCCTCGGCCTCGTGTGCGGGGCGGGGTGGTGACCCCGGCGCCTGGGAAGCGGCGCCCATGGCCGCTCACTGCTGGTGCTGCCCGCAGGCATGTCCGACTTCAACTACCTGCACAGCAACTGCTTTGAGATCACGGTGGAGCTGGGCTGCGTGAAGTTCCCCCCAGAGGAGGCGCTGTACGGGCTCTGGCAGCACAACAAGGAGAGGCTGCTGCGCTTCATGGAGATGGTGAGCCGGCGCCTGGGGCCTGGGGCAGGGGCAGGGCCTGGGGCTGGGAGTAAGGCCAGGGGCAGTAGAATTCAAACTCCGGTTTTGCTGTGTCTTGGACACATAGTGTCGCCTCTCTGGGACTTATTAGTGCTACTTTACCTTCTCTCCCTAATGAGGTGGCGGGCTCCACGCCCACAGGTGCGGCTGTGTTTCACCTGTTTGCTAGTTCAGTGCCCAGTTCACACTGGCCTCCGCCCACAGGCCGTGCCCTGGGAGTGTGGGGTCCCTGCATAGCAAGGGTGGGGAACGTCCAGTCCAAAGGCCCTATATGGCCCTCGAAATCCTTAGGTCTGGCCCTGCCAAGGCACCAGGGGTGAGTTAGTTATATGTCTGACCACAAACAGCAGGCTGACTTTTAAGTGGATAATTTTGTATGGCCCCTGGCAGGAAGAGGTTTCCCACCCCTGCATAGCAAGGCTCTCGGGCCCAAAGGGGCACAACTGAACAAGGAGAAGTCAGGGACCTGGTCAGCCCACGACAAACACCTGACCCAGCCCCACAGCCAGGGGGGCTCCCTGGAGGAGGTGGTACCTGGGCTGTGTCTTGAAGAAGTAGGGGGAAGGTGATGAGACAAGGAGAGCTCGGGCAGGGGGCCAGGGGGTGAGGGTCCCGATGGCCGTAGGAATGCGGGGGTGCTGGCCCTGGGCGGCAGGGAATCTGTGTGGTCCAGGGCCTGGGGCACGCCCACCCCTCTGACAGGAGGGCCCAGGCTGGTGGGGAAGGGGGAGGGGAACTGTCGTGATGGGGCTGAGGTCACCTAGGAATAGTTGGGTGGCCGTGAGTGTGGCCTTGGGGAACGTGGCTAAAATAACCCCTCACTTGCCTGGCCGGCCTGGCTCAGAGGTTGAGCATCGACCCATGAACCAGGAGGTCACGGTTCGATTCCTGGTCAGGGCCCATGCCCCGGTTGCGGGTTCAATCCCCAGTAGAGGGCGTGCAGGAGGCAGCCGATTAATGATTCTCTCTCATCATTGATGTTTCCATCTCTCTCTCCTTCTCCCTTCCTCTCTGAAATCAATAAATATACTAAAAAAATAAAAAAATAAAAGTTAGGAAATATTTCTGTATCTCATCACATCTATTGTGTTGGATGCAATAATACTGTGGGGAGTAAAATACAGGTAGATGTATCAAAGGAATATTAAAGAGCAGTGCCATGCAGGATGACATTATAGTATAACTAATGCTTTTGGGCTTAGCAGGCACATAATTCAATTCAGTCTGGTTCAAATACTTACTAATTCACAGTTCGCTTTGTTCTGTTTTCTTTCATTTTGAAGACATACAAAACTTAAGAATTAAGAGTAAACAACAGAAATTAGTTTTTTCTAATGCTTTTATCTCCGATTTCTTAAAATCCCCATGTATTACTGTGTTGTTTTCTTATCCTCCATTTTCCTGTCTCTAGTAATCTTCTATGGCCCTGTAAATTACCTTTTTATCATCTCTCTTGCTTCCTACTTTCATTTGGTTATTAATTATTGGCTTCATCCTAGAAACCTTTGTCTGCAGTTTAACACTTCCCAGGTTTATTCCCCACAGATCGCTGGGATAAGAGACTGAACAGGGTGGATAACAGACACATGTGCGGTAAGGTCTGGGTGACACAGGGAAGGTGCTTGTCAGTCACACATAGGAACACAGGCCACAGTAGGTATAGCCATTGCAGGCACAGGAAGATTTGAAATATTTAATCTCCTAAACACAGGAGTTCCCTCTCTTGGTTCTCTTGCTTGCCTGCATTGGACTCCAGGATTGCAGGGCTCTCTCACTCCTGCATTTGCCCACGTGGCACGCAGCCATGTGGACCCCAAACACAATGGACTAGTGGACTGCAACTAGCCTAATGCCCAGCTCCACTGTGAAATGGAAACTTTGGGTACTGGCTCTGCTTCTAGCTTTACTGAATCCCCAGCTGCACATCATCCAGGAATGGATTAAGGAAAATGGGACTTTGCAAACCAAGGGATGTAATTCCACGCAAATAAAAATCACTCGTCCTCCTGTGCTAGTCTCAGAAAATTCTTATTCTTGAGATATTGTAAGGATCCTACTCTCACTGGCAATGTTAACATTAAGAGTACAATGTTGGAGTCTACGGCCATACCACCCTGAAAGCGCCCATCTGATCTCGGAAGCTAAACAGGTCAGGCCTGGTTAGTACGTGGAGGGAAGAGTACAAAGTTGAAGTGTCATTAATAAGTTGGTAGAATAATAAGCCCCAGCCCTTACTTCCCCATGGAAGCAGCAATTTAATAACATTAGGACCAAAATACCTTTTTAAGATTTCCAGATAAGAAGTTGCAATACCCCGGGAGAGCAAAAAAACAAGAACAGCCAATCTTAACAGTGAGATTGGTAAGAAGAAAATTTCACTGTACCCAACTCAGTCCCTCCTTCAAGCCAGGTCAGATTAGCACCAGGAGATCACCCTGAGTTGAAACTTCTCCCTCCCTCACTGGGGGAGAAAGGGGATGATGCATGCATCAAAGATTCTGTCTTTTCAAAAGGAACACCTGAAGGACCAGTTTTCGAATTGCTATGCACTATTACCCCCAGCTACCCGGCAGGCCGCGTGACCCTGCCTTACAGGTGGGGCAGCCCCCCTGAAATGCAAGGTGGCTTCCCCAAGGTCACAGACGAGCTTGCCCAAGGTCAGAGACTGACACCAGGGCCCAAATCCTGGCCCGTGTCCTTCCGGTGGCCCACGTGCCCTTAGGAACTCGACTCAGAACCAGCCCCCGCTCTGATGAGGGAGGCGGGGCCCGCAGGGGGTCAGCGGAGGGCAGAGGGTTCTCTGCTCGGGGCCGCAGCCGGGAATGTCCGCCGCGGGACGCTCTAGCGGGACTGCGGGCCGTTCACAGACCCGGGCCGGGTTGCCTGCCCCACGGATGGGCCCACCGGTCACCCTCACTTCACAGATGAGGAAACCGAGGCCTGGAGGG